CCTTTGTAAGGATTCTAGGCCTCGCTGGTCCTTGTTCCTTGGGCCTGCGGTTCCAAAGGCAGGCAGGGACTTGGGTCCCCAGGGGAGCCCCCATGCCCCATCTTTCCTCCCCTCTGTTCAGTTGACCAGAGGAAAGAAGTGCACAGGGGTGCGCGGCAGCGCAGCCGAAGGGATGGGGCCAGCTTCCCCGCCCCCACCAAGGTCAGCTGGACTGCCTTGCCCAGGCTCACCTGCACGGTATCTATGATGACAGAGAAGGAGTGGTCCTGGCAGTCCCGGGCCAGCAGGTACTGGCAGACCCCGCTGAAGGTGAAGTACTTGTTATCAAAGCTCTTGAAGTGGGACTGTCCTGTGACGAGACACTCCCCTGGGGGGTCACAGGGAAGGGGAGAGTGTGTGTCCCAGTGGGTCCCCTGGTCGGGGGGACACAGGGAAGGGGAGAGTGCATGTCCCAGCAGGGCAGGGCGCCTTCTGGGGACACACAGCAGTCTAGAAGGGGCTCCATGGGAGGACTCTATTCAGGCCCCACTCCTCTGACTCTGAGAGGTCAGGGCTGTTGGTCAGTTGGAGGCCTCAGGGCAGTGACAGCCACACCTGTCAGTAGTAGAGCAGGACCAAAACCCTCGGCTCCAGCTCCGAGCCTCCCCATGGCCACCCCGGGTTCTGGCTCTGCCCCACGCCTTCAGAGGCCTTTCTCTGGGCTGCCATTGTTGGGGGTATTCCCCCCACCCCAGGAGCCCCTGAAGGCAAGTGGGCAGAAAGGCAGTCCAGAGCGGTGATGGGGGCGGAGGGCAGGGCTGTCTCCAAGCCCAGCAGGGGTTGGGATCCATCCTCACCCACCTCCCCAGCTGGAAGGCGGCCTCAGGCCTCCTCATGGGCAAATCCATGCTGTGACTTCAGCAGGGCCAGTGGGGGCCCAGGACACCATCTGCCCATGATCTCACCACCACCCGAGCCAGCTCCCCGGCCCAGGCTGATACATCTAAGGGTGGGTGTGAGGACTCCCCCTGCGTCCCCACTACAGCTTGAGACCTCACCCCCCCACCCAGCTGCAACTCCGTCCTCCCCAGGCCCCAGTGCCGGCCCATGCTGCTGGCCCAGTGCACCTCGGACCACAGATCACACATCCTGGAACACATCTGTGTGGGTGGCAGGGGGTGGGGGTGGGGGTGGGGAGGTTCTGCCAGTGTCTGCAGTGATTCCCCACTGGCCCCACCCCAGCTCAGGGCAACCCCATCTCTGGGGCACACAATGGACCCATTGAAGCTGAAACGGGCATCTGGACCCCTTCCCAGCCTCCCTCCGTGTTTCCTCCGCTCCTTGCCTTCCACTCTGCAGAAAAGTAAATGCAGACACAAGTCATAAAGTAGGGCTCTCCTTTCCCACCCAGACGCCCCAGCCCCCTAACAGCAGAGAATCGTCCCCCGTACCGCTGACCCGGTCTGCACCCCAAGTTCCCCTAAGAGGGTCCTAGAGCCAGTCCCACTTGCGCCCGTCTCCAGGGGCTGGCGCTGTGCCGTGCAGTGCAGTCGGGGGTCCCCAAAGGCCTAAGGGGGACCCAGCTGCCCGTCTGTCAGGCACAAGGCCCGTCAGCCCCCACCTGCCGCCTCGTGCCCACGTCTGTGCTGAAGTCACAGCGGGCACAGTCGGGGCCAGGGGTGGCCCTGTCCTTGGAACGTGCTGAAAGGCAGGGGGAGGGTGAGCAGCCCCAGGTTATGGTAACTGTCCCTCTGCCTGGTCCCCCGGGCCGCTGACCCCTTCCAGGATTGCATGAGCCAGGAGGGCACGCTCAGGCCGAAGAAATTCAGAGAAAGTAGGGAGGCCCCTGACCGCCTTCACCAGAATCTCCTTCTGAGACAGTAACAAACGTAAACGCCTTTGGTTCCCGACGCACAGCTTCTAGCACCCTTCCAATGCCCTGGGTGATGGGGGCATCTTTTGTTCTAATGAAGCCACCTTTGGTGGGTCCCTAGAGAGCTCCAGGATGGGGTCTGGTGACCAAGAGACCAAGGCATGACTAGGGGCTTGGAACTCCCAGCCCCACCCCCACCCACAGCGAGGGCTGGAGATGGAGTTAATAATCAATCATGCCTACATAATAAAACCTCCGTAAAAACTCTCACACAACAGAGTCTGGACAGCTTCCGGCTTAGGGAACAAATCCACACGCAGGGAGGCTGCGCACCCCAGCTCCCCAGGGACAGAAGCTCCTGTGCTCGGGCCCTTCCAGACCTCGCCCTACGTGCCTCTTCATCTGGCGTTCATTTGTGTCCTTGATGATGGTTCTTGCAATGGACCGGTAATAGTAAAGGGTTTGCCTGAGTTCTATGAGCCATTCGAGCAACTTTCGAACCTGAGGACGGCACTGCGGGAACCCCCAGTTTGCAGCCAAGGCGGACAGAAGAGGGTGCCCCGGGGACTCTATACCTGGGGCTGCCATCAGAAGCAAGAGTACTGGAACCGAGCCCTTCGCCTGCGGGGTCGGCACTAACCCTGGGTAGTGGGGATCAGAACTGAATTAAATTGTAGGACACCGGCGGGTGCCCAGGAAGTCAGAGAATGGGTTGGAGTAGGGGGAAGACACACACATTTGGTGTCAGAGTTTTGTGGAATCACTCTGTGCCTTCCCACTGCCTGACAATATAATCATATTTAATATATTAAATATTAATAATAAATAATATTTAATATTTCTTGACTCCCTCCAAGGTCCCACGTCCTGTATTCATGTCTTTGTGTGACGCCCTCACCTTGAGTGCAGACTGGTCGTGTGGTTTTATTTCTAGCAAATACAAGTATCTGTGTAATACACATTTCACCTGCCTGAGCCCACAGCCCACACTCCCAGCCCAGGACGGCATGACCCTTCCACGCTCATCGGATTTGGGCCACAAATGAAAAGCGCTCCACTCATGACTTCCCGGGTCCAGAAGAGCGCCTTCCACACACTCCCCCAGGAGTCTGAAATTCTGTCACCAAGGGGGGCGGTATAGCTCAGCGACAGAGTGCATGCTCCGCATGCACGAGGTCCTGGGTTCAATCCTCAGTCCCTTCATTCAAAGTAAAGCTAATCGCCACCCCCACTGCAAAAAAAACAAAGACCATGAAGTCCTGTCACCAGAGCTTTGTTTGAGGGGTAGTCCAATTAACAGACATGCTCCTTTCGCATTAATCCTCACCAAACATCTGTGGCTCAGTGGAGACAAGTCAGCAGAGCTGCTCCGGTTTGCAGAGGAAGCGGAGAGAGGCTCAGGATCACAGAAAGGGAAGCCCACTGCCCGTGCGGAAATCACAGTTTTGCCTGGGGCAGCCCCAGTCCTAACCCGAAGAGAGGTGTGCGGGGAGCAGTGAAGCCCCCGCCCCTCCCCACGCAGGCTCATGCTCTCCCCGCAATTTTTCCCTCCCTCCTGCCCCCAAACACAAGATTCTCGGTACTCAGCAGCCTTTAGGATGCCCCCCCCCAAAGTTCCCACCGCCTGTATTCCCGTCTTGTGTGACGCCCTCACCTTGAGTGCAGACTGGCCACATGGTCTTATTTCTAGCACATATAATACAGCTGTCACCTTGGAGAGCAGGTTTTTAAAGGACCGTGGCTTCTGTTTTGGCTGCCCTGTCTCACTCTCTCTGAGGTCACTCACCCTAGAGGAAGCCACGTGTCATGTCACGAGGCAGCCCCAGGGGAGGGCCACGTGGAGAGGGACAAAGGCCTGCCGACCATCACGAGAGAGAGCTTCAGCGTGACCCTCTCACCCCGGAGGAAACTTCAGGTAAGACCACAGCCCCAGTCAATAACCTGACTGCAACTTCATGAGACATCATGGGCCAGAGGCACCCAGCTAAACCGCACCCAGATTTCTGACGTACAGAAACTCTGAGAAATAAATGTCTGTTGTTTGCTAAGTGTGGGGGCAATTTGTTACACGTAACAGACAACTAGTACACTCTCATCTTACTCCAGAGAATCAAAACTCAGCTCTCTAAGGCTCATAATGTCAGCTCCTCCAGGGAAGCCCCAGCCTGCTCTTTGCTTTACTAGCAGGGCCAGGCATATTCCCTTCCAGAAACTTCCCACCAGAAGCTCTGCCAGCAATCACCACGCTGGCGGATAAGACAGCCCCACTGCCAGCTGACTCTTGGCAGGTGCAGAGACATGATATGTGCTATAGGTAGAAATGGACTGAGAGGCAACCACCAACTCCAGAACTAGAAAAAGGTCAGAGCTGAGGCTTTGAACACACAGAGCAACAGCTTATTGTTGTGTTGGCAAAACAGCAAACCACTCCACAGACCACAGAGATGGAACCAGCTATCTTCCCATCAAGCCATCAAGAAAATTTCTCGCATCCTCAACGAAGTTATCATCCAGATTTTGAGCTGAAAACCAGGGGACGGTACTGTCTGCCCCAAACCAAGCATTCCATCATGTACCCAATGTGTGTTTAAATAATTGTTGGATGGATGGATGGATGAATAAGTGGATGGATGATTAGATGGTTAGATGGATGTATGGTTGGATGGATGGATGGAAGACATTCCCTATAGAAAGTGGTTATTAAGCTTTCCTAATCTGGTAGTCATTCTGACAAAACACAGTAAGTTAAATTTCTAATTCCACCCTCGGTACCTCATAGACGTTATACAATAAATGCTTACTATTTAGATATTAAAAGTTTTTTCCACGGGTCAGTTGCAGCAACCTCATGTCTTTCAAAGGGCCCATCAGGTCTTTCACAGGGTATGATTATGTTAAACTGGAGCATTAACATTCACATCACTTGCAAGAGCATCTTTTGTTCTTTGCGCTTTTTTCAAGAATTGTACAGAAGATAAATTGGCTGGTTGGCCTTCCCTGGGCCAAATAAGTGGCCTCACCCTGATGCCCACTTTCCATCTAGTTTCCATCTAGTTCCAGAATTTCCCCAGTGTAGTGGGCACTGAGGAAGTCCTACTAAGTGACTCTAAAGCCACAGACCCCAAATACAAGCCCAGGAGTGCAAGCTCAATCCCCTGCCAGCCCACCAAAGCCAGCGTAGCCTCTTGGCACCAAAGGGACAAGAGCTTGCCATCAGACTATTTGCCCGGCTGTTTTTTATTGCGCTCCACAAACACGGTGACCCACGAAGTCGTGTCCAGCATGAGCACTGAGGCTGAGCTAGTCTTTAACTAAGCGTGGGGCCTCACCAGCACTCATGAGAAATGGCAGAGACCCTCCTGCCAAGGGATGGGTCAAAGACTTGGAAGGGGAGTAGAGGGAAAGGCAAGAGTAGAGGTCAGACCGTTGTCAGTTTGGGTCCTGTCTGCCTCATAGCAGCTGTGTGACTTTGGGTGAGTTACTTAACCTCTCTGGGTCTGTTTCCTCTTCTGTAACATAAGAAGAAGTTGTACCTGCCTCATAGGTCGTGGTGATGAGGTCATACATGCAAAATGCTGAACACAGTGCCTAACATACAGCAACCATCACAGAGGAGAGGGGCATCAGGAGAAGAGCCAGGGTCACGGGGTGGGGGGGTGAGGCAGAGGCAGCTTTGAATGGGCAACGTTTGCAGTAAATAGAACAGAGTTGAGGCTAAACAGAGGAGAAAATAAAGGCAGAGATGATAAGGCAACTGCTCCTAAATAGACTTTCCAGGCGGGGACAAGGCAGGAGGGTATATTCGGTGGCCTGGTTTTCCTAGCTTTTGGATGGTGCCAAGGTCTTCAGATCAGGCATTCCAGAAAATTCCCAAAATTACTCACTCTAAGCTTAAAGAATTGCCAGGCCCTTCTTCCTCTTAATTTTCCAAGGAATTTGCGTCATCCTTGTTTAGTCACCTGACACCTCACAGTTTTTACAGCTCATTCAACTGTAATCCTTTGAGCAAACAGATGAAGAGAAACGGACAATGAAACCTTAGCCCACGTGGGTTCTCCCCGTTCAGCTGCTGGAGGGCCTCCCGCTGCTGGCCCAGGGCAGGTTAGCATGGCTGGCTTTGTAAGGGAGCTGTGGTCGAGTCACATCCAGCCCTGTGGTCCCCAGCTGGCACGGAAGGCCACTCGTCTGCGTTCAGAGCGGGGAGGGAGGGGAGGCTCACCTACCTGGACACTCCTCGTTGCTGCAGATCCACAGGCTGTTTCGGCAAATGCTGTTGGGGAGAGAAGCACAGGTCATGGGTGGTTCTGTAAACACAGGCGTCCGGGTTTGGGAGACTCCTGGAAGACTGCCACGCGGGGGAAGGCAGCCCAGGGAAGAGGCCTGGCGTTCTCCTCCCGCATATGCAGGGTCAGGCAGAGCCAGCCGGCCCGGGGAGACAGCCAGAGGGGCTTCTGGAGGAAATGGCTGGAGTGAGGCTGGAGCAGCAGAGCCTGGAGGGCAGGCCCCCAGGTGTCCACTGGGCACCACGGCCTCCTCCCATCTAGTGGGTCAGTGATCAAGGAGGGTAGGACTGCCTGTGGCTTGGTGACTGTCTTAAGGTCCCTCTTCAGGGAGAGAGAGTCACTGATTAAAGCACAGTTGGGGGAAAGCTAGAGATGTTGTTTGCTTATAAAGGGACCTTACACACACACCCGCCTCCCTCCTCCAGACAGATCTGTGTACAAGCCTTTCTCTCCATCATCAGCCTCCACGCCCTTCCCCAAACCACCCCCAGCCCAGGCCAGGTCCCATTTCACCTGCCGGTACCCCTACTGCCCGCGCTGGCCCAGCTAACCCCTCCCACAGCCCCAGGCAGGTTCCCTAGATCACATGGCTCAGCCCGATTACCAGGTGTTGCAGTCTCGCGAGAAGGAGGCGCCTGGCGGGTACCGCTTCCCAGAATGCACGCAGGAACACTCGGTGCTCTCCACACAGCGGCTGCCATCAAGGAGCTGCCCCTCTGGGTCAAGGGCATCAGGGCAGAGACTCAACCTTGCCATCATCACTCATCTCACAACTACAGAATCCCCACGGGTTCAGCTCAGGGGTTCTCATGGGAAGGGCAAAGAACTCATCCTGGGGGGCTGAGCTTTCACAGTGTTCAGTATGGGGGGGGCCTATTCATCACCCCTCTACTGATGCAGAAATGGGGAAAAGAGATTTGTTCAAGGTCTTCCAGTAGAGAAGTTGTGAATCAAAATACACAGCCCTCTCACTAATTAACCAGAACTTTTCCACGAAGCTCACAAGGTCTCTCCTGAGAAAGACTTTCGGGTGCAAAGCTGAGCTCACATGGCAAACCCAGGAACTATCCCAGAATATCTTTCTCCCAGACAGTTCCCTGATGTTTAACCAAGAAAACATGGCAGCTCAGAGTGGGCCACGTGCTCCCCAAACAAAGTCGCTGCTGGAGCCCAGACTGCCCTTCTACTCCCCAGACGCACATGCGTTCGTGGATACAGAACACCAGGAAAACGTAAATTAAAAATAAATGCCAGCTCAACCCTGATCAATCTGGACAGAGACTAAACTACATAAAAGGCCTCTGATTTCGGCAACGGGGACCAAACACACGTGGCCTTTGGCTTCCTCCATCAAGGGCACTGGCAAGGAGGTCTCGGGCGTGTAAACACAGCGGGAAGTCTGTTACCAGGGCAGCTGCAGCCGTCCACGCACTGCTCCCGACACGCTTCGCTGACGGGCGGGCTCCGGCAGGTTCTGGTGCAGGGGGACACACACTCCCTGTACTCCATGCCCGCGGGGCACGCCGGTCCTGAAACGGAAAATTCAGTAGCCTCTCCAAGGCAGCATCTCACAAGCCACACTGTGCCCAGAGCCCCCTTTGTCTGCCCTCCTCTGTCTGCAGGGCCCCGGGGCCCACCTCCACCCCAATGGCACCCCAGTGGCCAACGTCACCTCCAAGGCCACCCCACTGATCACTCCTCCCCTAAATGAACAAACTTCACCATGTGGGTCCTGGCTGAGACTCAGCAGGGTCACCTGGGGCCCCCACTCCTCCCCCTGGTCCTCTGATCTCCATTTTGCTTCTCTCTGCTCTGTCCCTTCCACCCAGGGTGTCCCTGTGACCCTCTCAGGGTGACGCCAGATGCCTCCAGGTGGAAAATGCAAGGCCTGGAAGCCAAGCACAGGGTAGACAGTGTCTTCCATCACATCCCTCCTCTGAGGGCTCCTCCTCCCCCAGAAACTGGCCCCAGGCAAAGGCCCCGCCCACCCAGCACCAAGTGCACAGCATCACGCCCCCTCCCCACACGGGGGACGTTAGTCCCCATCTACGTCCACCGGGCAGCAGGACTGCCCTCGGAGCCTCGCCACCTAAGCCTCTATCCTTCGCGCGGACCCAGCTCCTCATGGACAGGGACTGGCTCTCCTTTCTCTCCTCACCCGCCACTGCCTGATGCTCAGACCACAGGACCAGAAGGACCAGAGCATCTCAGCACCCCAGACCCTTTCTCCTGCAAGATACCGCAGGCACCTCCTCACCCTACCTTCAAAGACCTGAAAAACAGCAACTCCTCCTCTCAGGGGCAACCCGACGGCTAATAACCACCTTCCCCACACCCTCCACACAGATGAAAAGCTCTAATTTATAAGCTGAAAAACACAAACCAAACGGCGTGTGTGCAGCGTAAATACCTGGCCCCACTCCCCTGCGTGATCAGCCGGTGTGATCTGCGTAATCATCACAGGCTGCCTGTCCACCCGCACACCTTTGGACCAGTGGGAAGTCTGAGGGGAGAGGATACTTCTTGCAAGGTGACTGGAGAAGCTCCTACTTAATCGTGATAATTGGGGGGTGGTGACAGTGACAGTGACTAGGGACCCAATGAGATCAGATAATCAGGTGAGGGCGAGGGATGATGAGCACGCACCTGGAGGGGAGGAGGGATTTAATGAAAGGGAAGAACTTGATAAACGCCTTCAAGGACCCCAGGATCACCCCGGGGACACTCTGGCCACCGCCCTGCTCCTGGTCAGTTCAGACACTAACTGCTGAGATTCCCCTCAGAGCCGGGGAATGTTTTTGAGTTTGAATTTCCTAAGGGAGGCACGGCGTGAAAACAGAGGCAGGAGAAGTGATGCGGGGAACTTGGGAGGGCATCTCAAGCCTCCTCCAAGCCATTAAGGCAGGAGACTCGCTCTGTGACCAGCGGACACACAGGAGCCAGGCGGGAACTGGGCACCGGGATGCGGGTCTTGGCAGGCACTGGCTGGTTGGGGGTTGACAGCCTGAGAGCTCCTGGAGTGACACGGGGACAGACGCCGCTCGGCCCCAAGCTGACTCACGGCACGCGCTGTGGTCCGTCCAGCCGTACAGCACCATCCCCCTCTGGGCGCAGGCCCGGGCGTACTCCAGGAGCACGGGGCACGGGCACTGCAGCCCCTGCGCGCACGGGCACAGCATCGTCTCACACAGCGCCACGAAGGGCTCTGGGTCCACCAGGGGGTGGCAGCGGGCGAACACCGAGGCACTCTTCAGAAGCTGGCACTGCTCCCACAGGCCCTGCAGGGAGGAGGTACCACGTCAGCACGGGCGGCACCCACGCCGCCTGGCCCTTCAGGGGTTCGCTTAGCAACTCCCAACCTTGGTGCTTGGAGACCCAGCCCCGCCCAGAAACCCAAACACACTCCCTCACACCCAGCAGGTGCTTGTCACGTGTGTCAAACTACACAGTCCAGCGGCCAGTGGAGCGCTCCCCGGACTAGGGCGACCTCCTAGACAGAGTCCTGCCAATGCAGATGCCCAGGCCCTGGCCTGTCTCTGAAGGGAAAGAGCAGAGAAAGACTCCTGAAGGGAGCTCTGCTCCTGAAGTTCTGCTGAAATTCCGCGGGAGGCCATGTGGCTCAGACCAGGAAGGCCGATCAGCATCTGCTTTGAACTCACCTAGTCTGCGCCCCTCCCTGACCTTGGCTTCTCCAAGATGAGGGGGTTTCCTCAGAGACGAGGAGGTGGGACAAGGTGTTTTATAAAGTAGAGCTCCCTGGGCCTCAGCCCCAGACGTCTGAACGCAGTGTGTCAGGGATGGAGTTCAGCAAACATTCCCCAGACGATTCCTGAGGCCAGATCGGATCAGCTTCCATCAGCAAAAACATGCTAGGACTCTCTGAAGGATCCCAGAGGCAGTGCCAGGCCAGGGCTATTCTTGGATTTTATCAGTGTGTTGATACCCTCAACCCAGTAACACAGGCAGGTTTGAAACTGCTGTCACAGACGATTCCTGTGACACATTAGCATAGACCCCCACATCTACCTGTGAACGTTTCTGCAGCCTGTGTGTCAGGGACTCTAAATTCACATCTTCTTCACAATTTAACATCTCTGAAAATGGGGTGCGTCTTACAAGAGATATCACGCTTTAATTGGCAGCTTCTCCCTTCTTTTTTTTCTTTTTAATGGAGGGACTGGGGATTGAACCTAGGACCTCATGCATGCTAAGCATGTGTTCTACCGCTGAGCCATTTCCCTCCCCCCAGCTTTTTCTTTCTTAGTGACACATGCAACAATGACGTGTCTTGGAATTGACGTCTTAGCTTTTTTTTTTAACAACATATACTGTTTTTTTTCATTTAATTTTTTTTGGTGCGGGGAGGGAGATAATTAGGTTTATTTATTTTTGGAGGAGGTACTAGGGATTGAACCCAGGATCTTGTGCATACTAGGCATGCACTCTACCTCCTGAGCTATACCCTCCCCCGCGACAACGGCTTAGCTTTGACGCAACACCATCCTGTCGCTGTAAATGATCCACACGGGGCGGGGGTGGGGTGGGGGACGCGTCCTTTCCGGCACAGATGTGCTCCCCCACGACTGGGAGCCAGGCACCTGTGAAAGGAGAACGGGGCATCTACAGGGAATGCTGCGCCCGGAGGGTGAACCAGGGCAAATGGGTCCCCTAAAGGGGACGGTGAATAAGAGGAAAGCAATGACCGGTTCTGAGGACAGGGAAACCCAACCTGCTCAAACTGTACACAGGATGGCCAGGGCAAGGCTGCGTAAATGAGGAGCCAGGAGCCAGGCCCCTGGGCCTCGTCTGGAGCACTGGAAATCCGACCCGGTGCCGCTCACCACTCAGGAAAGCCACCCAGGCAGCACCAGGGCCGTGCTGTGGCCCAGGGGCCCCGCCCCTCCCCCCTGCACAGTCAGGACCAGGCACCTGCTGGCTACAGGCCCCGGAGCGAGGTACCCTGGGGGCTCCAGGGCCAGCTGGCCCAGGCAGCGGGGTGTGGCTGGCTCCCTCTGCACCTCAGAAAAGCAGCAGCCGTGTGGGCTGTGAACCGCAAAGCCACAGCAGACAGACTGGTTGGCAGGACAATTAGCAGCTCTGCATGCTGGGAGCCGGTGGCTGAGAGCAGCTCTCCCTCCCTCCCCAACCCTCCTCCTTCTGACTGACTCCCTGTGGTTGGAGATCCCACACCCACTGAGTGGCTGAGAAAAAGCAGAGGCTTGAGCCTAGCTCAGCCACTGCCTGCTGGTGGGGACAGAGGCAAACCTTGTCCCTTGCTGGAGGAGGGCCTCCTGGAGTAAGGCAGGAACAGTAACCAGACACTGCCTCGCAGGTGGACACTCAGAGCCGGGCGCCCAGCAGGGAGCTGATGAACAGAGGCTGTCGTGGGTCCCCTGCCACTGAGGGCTCGGTGATGACATGCATCCTACCATTTGCCACCTGAGCACAGCACACTGGGGAAACTGAGAGCTCTGAAGATGGTGCCAGGAAGAGTCCTGCCCTAGACTTGCTACGACTTCACAGCTCGGGGCCCAGCTTTTGCCTCTTCCGCGTGCTGGCCGTGGGACCCAGGCTGTTTACTCAACCCACCTCCTCTGGGGATGGGGGTAATAATAACAGTGCCTCCCTGAAAAGACTGAGGTGAAGACTGAACGGAACAGTGCGCGTAAAACGTTTCGCCTAACAAATGATGACTGAGGACCCCATTCTGCCATCATCCTCGGTATCCTGGCCGCCAGAGAAAACCCTTCCACCGTCCCTCCTGCGATCAGGCTTAGCCTCTGAATGGTGAGCAGGTCACCAGCAGGACAGAAGGACGTCTTTGTCCCTTTCCCCATCTCCGCCTGCCTGCATTGCATAGGGATGAGTGGTTGCCGTGGCAACACTAGGATCTGGGGGGCTCGTGGTGAACACAGGGCTGCTCCTGTTGGTCTTTCATTCGGGAGGGTCACGCTCCTCCAGAAAAAAAGTGGGCTTCTTTCCAGTGCAGGGGTGGGGTGGGGTGGGGGAGAGACTCGCTCTTCTTTCGAACTCTTTCTAAGAATCTCCATCCTCACTGGCCAGCGAGGTTCAGGGAAGGAGGCTGAGGCCTGGGTCTGGTTCCTTCCGTCCAGCTACACCACCTGACCCGTTAGACGTGCCACTCAGTTCTTATTTTGTTTATTCGTGTCCTCTCTCTTTCCTTCCTGGAGAGCCTGGCCAGAGGTTTGTCAGTGTTGTTTACTCTTTCAAAAAAACCAGCTCTTGGTTTTATTGATTTTTTTTCTATTTTTTTAAAATCTCTGTTTTATTTATTTCCTCCCTGACCTTTTTCTTCCTCTCCTTTCTCTGACTTCAGGTTTTGTTTGTTCTTCTTTTTCTAATTCTTCTAGGTGGCAGGTTAGGTGGTTTATTTAAGATTTTTCTTGTTTTTTGAGGAAATCCCGTACAGCTATGAACTTCCCTCCTAGCACTGCTTTTGCTGCATCCCTTAGATTTTGTGTGGTTTTGTTCTCATTCTCATTTGTCTCAAGGTATTTTTTAATTTCCTCTTTGATTTCATTGTTGACGCATTGCTTTTTCAGTAAGAAACGCCACTCAGAAAGTGAGCTTACTGGACTCTTAAAGGGCAGCTGAGGGCGTCCCCGGGAGGCGGGTGCTTGGGCCCTCGCCTACCTCTTGCCTCATCCACAATTTAGGACCACAGAAAAATGCCAAAAGGCAACTCCATGGGAGTTTTCCAGCGATGGCCGCCACTGCCTGGGCTGTAGGGCAGTGCTTTGGGGCAGTCCCTGCACCACAGGACCAGCCCTGCAACCACAGGGACCAGGCACCTCGGCGGACACAGTAACAGCCAGAGGAAAGACGAGACTCAGGAGTCCGGGTGTACCCCCACTTTCGGAGCGAGATGAGGCGGGGTCCAGTGTGGCCGTCTCCAGCTGGCCCTCATTCATCTTTTCCTTGCCCAGAGGAAAAGTGGGAACGGTGCTCCAGCCCATTTCCTGGGAGGTCCCTGGAGGTATTAAATGGTTTCCAGAAAGCCTTAGCTAGAAGGGTGTTTTCTGATCATTTGCCTGCAGGATGGGAGTGGATTTCTGCAGACACAGCCACCTCCCTTAGAACGATTCTTGTGGCCTCGGCCATGTGCACCTGAAATCTGCCTAGGACTTCTCTCTCAGACAAGAGGAAAAGTCTGTCCTCCGGTCCAGCCTCTGGTCAGCCCTGGCCTGAGCTTAGCCCACTGAGGTGACTGCAGCGTGACGGTCAGGCAGGTCTTTCAGGGGTCCGCCAGCCCCTGCAGCCCACGCAGCCTCAGCCCGCGGCGGCAGCACGGCGACACAGGTCATCCCCCAGACCAGGCCAGGTCCCAAGACAAGACATCTCCAAGGATGCAGGTCAGAGGTGGAGCTACCACGTCCTCTCAGACCCAGTTTAGAGACACGGACCAGAAG